TGAAAACTATGATACTACTCTCATAGTGCCACGGCCCTCCGTAGCAGACCTTGTTCCGATCATCAAAGTCCAAAAACTAAAATGCAAAGAGGTTATTCTGCAGATCTGTTATCTGGAAATTTTTCTTCAAGCCCCATGCCTTGGATAGAGCTATTTTCATGGATTTGATATTCGGTTTCTTCTCTGATACGAGTCGGCCTATGAGCCCTAGATGCCTCACCGCCTCCATCCGTACCACATCAACGTCATCGTCCTCGACTTCCAGTGGCTCGTCATCATCCTCTTCCAGCGTTATCTTGTGAAGCTGATCCTCAATCGACTTGTGCAGATTGAGATTATCCTGTGTTGTTTCCTCTGCCAGTGGTATTTCATCGCTTTAGTTCGTTGTCTCCATTGAGCTATGCCGATCCTTAGTTCTCAATCGTTCAGACGCGTGACTCGCACGTTACCCGGTTGCTCGCTATAGTTCGCCTAATAGAGTATCGCTTTCTTCTCAGAACCCGACCAGCAACTGTGAGGTTGTAGATCTGTAGATCCGCTCTAAGTATGTAAACTTTAAGCAGATTTGGTCGCAATAGTACTCGCAAAACCTTCTCCTTCCCGGACACCACTAGGGTTTTCGCCGCTCTTCTCAACCCTCGCTAAACGAGAGAACCCCTGGACGATATTTCTTTTCTTGCCGTAGGTCTAGATGACTTAATCACAAACAATTCAAGTGTGACCTATATTTCGTTTGAATAGTTGGTTTATTTGTTTTTATGGTCACTTTATTAAGGGTATAGTGTGGTATGTATTTTATTAGAATTGGACTTTTGTTGGTATAGAACTGGATTGTTCAGTTTCATCATCGTTTTTACCCAATATCTAAACTGGGAAGAAGAAATCAAATAAAAACCGTCTCATAGATTAAATCAAGTTAACATGATACTTTTGCATTTAAAGTGGAATTTCATTGCTCTACATTTTATGTTATGAAAAGATATATTCAAGTAGTGAAATATGAATATATCGTTATTGATGGATTCAATTAAAAAATTTAATTTGACGAAAGTGCTTTTAGATAGCCTAACCTGGAGTTACTCCAGCTATCTGAGGTCAATCACCCTAGGTTACCCGTTACCTTGTGGTCACTCCGGCTCGGCCACTTGGGGGTCAATCACCCTAGGTCAACTTGGGGTCACTCTGACCACCCTGGGGTTAATCACCTCGGCCACTTGGGGGTCACTCCGGCTACCTCGGGGTCAATCACCCCAGGTCACCTTGGGGTCACTCCGACCACACCAGGGTCAATCACTTAGGGTCACCTTGGCCACCCCGGGGTCAATCACCCTAGGTCAACTTGGGGTCACTCTGACCACCCTGGGGTTAATCACCTCGGCCACTTGGGGGTCACTCCGGCTACCTCGGGGTCAATCACCCCAGGTCACCTTGGGGTCACTCCGACCATACCAGGGTCAATCACCTTAGGTCACCTCGGCCACCTCGAGTTACCTTGGGGTTATTGCGATTTTCGACCAGTCCGAGGTCAATAACCTTGGGTCACCTCAACCACCACGAGGTCACTCCGGCTACCCCGGGGTCACTCCGGCCACCCCGAGGTCAATCACTTGGGTCACCTTGGGGCCATTTCGATCACCCTCGGGGTCAATCACCTCAGGTCACTTGGGTCACCTTCGGGTCACTTTGGCCACCCCCGGGGTCAATCACCTCATGTCACCTGGCACACCTTGGGGTCACTCCGCTCACCCCGGGATTAATCACCCGGGTCACCTTCGGGTCATTTTGGCCACTCCATGGTCAATCACCTAGGGTCACCTAGCCCACCTTGCACTACAAGATAGAGTCGGTTGTTTTGTGTCGGTTCATTTAAGCAACACAAAATTGTTGTTTCACGTCCCTATTTTGTGTCGGTTAAGTGACCGACTCAAAATATTCTAATTTTATGTCGGTTAACCTTGAACCGACGCAAGTTTAATGAAATTGTGTCGATTATAGTTGAACTGACACAATTTTTTGTCATTTTGTGTCCGTTTTTTGGAAACCAACACACTTTTTTATGAAATTTTGGCTCTAAATTGAAAATTTCTAAATTTTCAATGGGCGCTCAATTTTCCCTCTTCTCATGACTCCGCCCGCTCAATCCTTGCCAAAAAGAAATTAAAACCCTCTACAATTTTGTGAGCCGCTTATTACCCACGCCTCCCCCCCCCCCCCCTCTTTTTTGTTCTTCCTTCTTCTCCTTTTCCGGCAACGGATCAGGTCAGTAACCTTATGATGAGTAATCATGAGTAACCCGTCCACATCAGCATTCCTCTCTCCTAGAAAGCCTTTAATTTTCCCCTCCTTAATCTTTGATGGACGATTTCTCACTCGTTTTAAGTTGAAATTTAATTTTTTTTTTTGCACAGTTAGATCAGATTAATTGTGCTCTTCAAAATGATATCCACTTTGATATATTTTTGGAACAAAAAAAAAATTGAGTTATTTTTTACCAGTCTATACCATATGCTATTGACTGGTATTGAAATAAGAGTATACCTATGGTTTGAGAAGCGTACCATGGTGGTATGAACAAACCACGACTTTAGAATGATTGAATACATGATAGTAGATCTATATTAATTGTCATTTACGACTTTTAATATTGTGTACCACAAGATACCATCCCGTACCAGGGTGGTATTTTGTGGTATTATTTGGTCTTGTAATTTGTTCACCCAGAAATTTGAAGATCCAATAGATCATGATGAACTCGTTCATTCTGTGCAAACGTTTTCAAAAACGAATTAAAAATGAAGCAGATACCATATGGTATTCAGTTGGTACCGAGAGGCAAGAATTTTTTTTTCTCAAAAAATATTGAAAATGGATCTCGTTTTGTAGAGCACAACGAACTCGTTCCACCTGCGCAAAAAAAAAATTGAAATCCGAGTTAAAACGAAGAAGATATGAGTCGATTAAGAAAACAAGGGAAAATAAAAATGACTTTTAATTCTCCATCCTTAGATATGAATTTTCTGAATGAAGGGTCCAGATTTAGTTATTGATGGATGCATAACCCATGGTTATGCACCCTATCTTGAGTCTCCTTCTCCCATCTCAAAACGAATACATGCCCCTGCAAAAGAAACAAAACCCTCACTCTTACTCTTCTTTTCTTCCTCTGACCAGACAAACAGGGATGGCGTGCGGACAACGCCGACGATGATGAGTCCAGCTACTATCACTTTCCCGTCTTTCCATCCCTCTCGACCTCTTCTATCTTTCATCTTCGTCGCCTGCAGGAAGAGAACAGAGGTTGACCACAAGGACAAAGAACCAAAAAAAAAAATACAGCAAACAAACAACCAAAAAAGTAGACTGAGCGGTAGGAAAGTACAACTGCCCATGTTCTACACAAACGTCTCCTTTGATTTCAAACAAATCTAGCACCCAAAACATCGTTCAAATTCTTTCCCTATATTTTATCAATCAATCACAAACAACAAACTTAGATAAATTGAAAAAGAAATAATAGCCTACCTGTTCAAACATCATATTAGGCAATAAGATCAAAAGAAAAAGATCTTTTACATGTACTGCTTATGAGACAACCTGAAAATGAAACTCGTTTTGTTATTAATCATAAAGACAAAACTATGTGACAAAGAGAAGAAAGGAATGACTTTCATATGCGAAGCGATTAACCTTGGACGAAGACCGAAACCCATTCAAGTTCAAAGTCTGATATAGAAAGAAGAGTAAAGGAGGAAGATATTACTGATCAAACATCATCTTCGACAATAGAAGTAGAAAAATAATGCTTCTAGTAGTTCATCGATAGGAGAGATAGAACCATTGAGCGATGCAGTGCGGAGGAATAGAGCTAGATAGGCCAGACCCGAACTACTTGATTAAACTCCATTCTATTTTCCATGGACTTATATCGGAGTTGAAATCTTCTACTTGCCCATCTTCAATCTTCAACAATCAAACAATAGTGCTAAGATATACCAGAAGATTGATTTTCATAGACGGTCTTGTACTAGGAAGTGAAGAGGATCAAACTATTGCACTATGGAATGAATTTGAGAGGAACTAGGAAGGATAAGAACAAAGATAAAAAAGTGCAAAATAAAATTAAAAATTAAAAAAATGTAAGGACACAACGCGTAGTAAAAGATATATTTTTTACCATGTTAGTCAACTACCAATTTACCCTTAGCAAAAATTAAGGAGAGAGTATGAATTTTAAAATGGAGAAAGCTAAATGAAACTCTACTATAAAAATCGATGTATCAAGCTAATTATGATGGAAAAGTCCTCTGATTTTTAGAGTTTAACTTCGTCTATGTTTTGTATTAAAAATAATAGAACAAATTTGTTTAGTGTAATTGGTTATGATTGTTATGATTGTTTGAAGAGACCTTGATTCAAATTTTGATATTGATATTTTTTATATGAATTTTTAGAGAATTGTAAAGATTAATATACCTTTCTTACTATTTCTCGGGATCACAGAAAATTTGAAATACAAAAAAGTTCACAAACTGGTAGAGAGGCGAAGTTAGGAATTCGTCTTCTCTTTTTTTCAATGTTGTCAGAACTGAACCAGAGCATGACCCGACAATGCTGGCGGCTCGCACTTTAGTGGTCCAATCGACATTAGGCCGTTGAAAAACCGTTAGAGAACCGGTACCTAATAAACGTTATCAATATAAATAGTGGTCATTTCTGAATCACAACTCATCTCTTTCCTTAGAAATTGTGAAATGGAAATAGAATTCAGTTTGAGAGCCGATTTTCAATTTTCAATTTTCTGCAATTTTTTTAATTAAATTTAGTGGTTGAATGACAAATACTGGACGAGCGGCTCGATCGGCTCGAATGAGTTAACCGCCTCGACCGCTCGCCAACAGTTCCATAAAATTGGAGCGGTTTTTTTACTGTTCCAAGCCGATTTTGTGATCAAATGACGATTTTATCGGTCAGGCCGAGCGGTTCGGCTTTAATAACACTGCTTCTTTTCTTCTTCCACTTTTCAGTTTAGATGGATATAGATCTGGATCTAATTTTATTAAATTTCCGCTTCGCCATTTCCATCCCCTTCCTTTCTCTGCGTGAAATTCCCAGCTCTCTTTAACACCGCAATTTCCCATCAATTCGCCCTGCCCCGTAAATTCCAGCTGTATTTGATTACCTCTGTGTCAGCATCGTCTTCGAGATTTGATCTTAGGGTTTTCAGATCTCCCGATTGCTGCCTGAGTGCCCGGTGTTTCCCGCGTCTTTTTGGCGTTTTTATTCCGGCGTTGTGGTGGCGACGCTTTCTGTCAGCGGCGTTTTGTGATTCTGATATAATAGGGATTGAAGCTTGAGGGTTTCGTGTAAATTTGTGTACGAGCTCGTGAGAAATGTCGGCGGCTTTGGGTAAGACGTCGTATCGCGATCGGACGCCAGAGTTTCTGAGCGTAGCGGAGAGGCTGAAGAAGTCCATCTCGTCAGGGAGCAATGCCGACGTCAGTAGCAGCAGCAGCGGGAAGCCCGACGGCACGCGATCTGCGGTTGCTGTTCAGTCGGAATTCAATAAGCGAGCTTCGAAGATTGGGTTTGGAATTCACCAGACGTCTCAGAAGCTGTCCAAGCTTGCCAAATGTGAGTCGTTCTCGTTCCCATTGACTTCTTTTTATTAGGTCAGTGGTTGCCGGATGCATCGTTTCGGTATTGCAATTCGGGTTTTCCGGTTTTACTATGATATTTCAGGTTGTTAGGAGAATTGTTATTCCATTGATGTGGAAACACTTGTCGTGTTCCATCTGGATGTGGTAATACTATGAGAGTTTGATACTGGCTGGAGGTTTTTGAATGGTTTAGATGGTGGCCTTAGTCGAGATTTTGGACGTGGAAATGGGAGGTGCGTGATCAGATTGAAGTTATTGTGTGATGTTAGATGACTGTTTGTTTCTTTGTGACGTTGTGGACAGCATCTGATCTGTGGTTTTTGGTCCTTCTCCGCCTGATTATCGAGCCTCACATGGCACAACATAACATAACGTTATGGAACAAAGATATAGTACTCTAGTCTCTTGTTACCACAGATGATTGTAGGAAGGCATTTTCTTTTCCTTGGTTATTGTTCAGTATTCACTATGCAGCAGAGAGGGAGTTGCCCCTCAGCAAAACTGTGATACAGTTAAGGAGGAGGTGGTGTTGGGAGATAGGGCGAGCAGGGCAGGAAACATTTATTGTCATGGTCCGTCAGAATTGAATCGTCATTCTTAGATCTGAGTGGTTGAAAGAATGCATGAGGTTCCTGACATGGTACATGCTTATAGGAGTGTTCCTTGCTTTTCTTGTGCTCAGAAGGCTGGATACCTTTGGATTTCTAGTCATCTATATTGTGCACATCTAGCTTGTTTGATGCGTAGGTTAGCATTGACTTGTACATAATTGGGATGAAGCTTCTCTATTTTGCAAAAGCTAATTAGTAGAATAAGATTTCAGGATCTTTTAGTTGCACAGTGTGAAGGTTTTCACCTTAGGAAATATCAGGAACAGTTGAAGTAATCTAGAGAAAAACAGGAGTTTGTTTTGTGGATGCTGGACTAGGTATATGTTATGGCCTTTTCTAGGATCAGACTACGTTACTGTATGGCTAGGATTATCATGCCATTAATGTTTTCTTCATTTCTTTCCTATCAATCAGTGCTTCCTTGTTCCTTCTACTTTATTCATGAAGTTTAGGCAGAAAATGGTATTGGCTGGATTAGCCTTAAGAGAATTTGAAGATACCAATCTGATCCTGAGGGTATTCCTTGCACAGCTTAGAGCAGGCTATGTAACTTAAGTACCTTGCTTTAGGCTGCGGAATCCTGATGACTTCCATACAAAACTTTCCTTTTCAATGAAAAATTTGTTGTATATTAGCATGCTACTAAGTTGGAATAGTTTCAGTATGATTTCTGAAAAATGGGAGATTGGAGCATTGTGACTAATCTATTCTGTAATTTCATCAGTGGCAAAGAGAACATCAGTATTCGATGACCCAACCATGGAGATCCAAGAATTAACTGCTGTGATAAAGCAAGATATCACTGCGTTAAATGCAGCTGTAGTAGATCTCCAGCTCGTATGCAACTCTCAAAATGAGAGTGGGAACATCTCTACCGACACCACAACCCATTCAACTACAGTTGTAGATAACCTCAAGAATCGCCTAATGGGCGCGACAAAGGAGTTTAAGGAAGTCCTAACTATGCGAACAGAGGTAAATTGAGAATCCCAATTTCAGAAATTTGTTCAGCAGGCCATATTATGGCCTCTTTAGTTTACCGTTTACTATTTATATCTAATATTTTTTCATTCTTGAACAACAGAATTTAAAGGTTCATGAGAACCGCAGGCAGTTGTTTTCTTCATCTGCATCAAAAGATGCTGCAAATCCTTTCGTCCGTCAACGTCCACTAGCTTCCAGATCTACAGCCAGTGCATCGCCAGCTCCTCCACCTCCATGGGCTAATGGTTCTGCATCATCATCCTCATCCCAGTTATTTCCCAGGTATAAATTGAGGCTGTTTCAGTTTCAGCTTTTGCTAAAGTAAAGAAAAAGTGTGTTTGGCTCGATTTTAGAATAAACTTGAGTTGATGGGGTTTGAAATCTTTTTTAGTATGAAAAGAAGTAATTGATTGAATAGCAGATTGCTTGTTTAATAGTAGAGAATCAAACAATGAAATGGATGTGTTTTGGGAGATGACTATTAATGGGGTATGCACTACTAGCTTTTTGCTACTTTCCTTTTTAACTCGGAATTTCTTGCTTCTGCTTGCAGTCGACAGTCAGATGTAGAGTCTCAACCACTCCTGCCCCAGCAGCACCAACAGCGTCAGCAGCAACAACAGCAACAACAACAGATGGTTCCACTCCAAGATAGTTACATGCAGAGTAGAGCAGAGGCTCTACATAATGTGGAATCAACCATTCACGAGCTAAGTAGCATCTTTACACAACTAGCAACCATGGTTTCACAGCAAGGAGAGCTTGCTATAAGGTTAGTCATAATTATTGCGAAGCATCGTTTCAGTTAAATTTGTGATCATGTTCTGCCCATTTTTCATCTTTGTTTTCCCTCGCTTGCACAAATGAACTGTGCTCTAGGATACCCTTGTCATAAGATGAACAAACTAGAAGGATTGTGAATACATAGCAAAACTAGCATCATCTTCTGAAGTGCTGGTGTTCTTTAGAAAAAAGGAAAGAGATGCAAAATTCGAATTGAATAATGAACCTCCGAGTTTATGGGATTATGTGTGGTTGTCTTTCAGGATCGACGAGAACATGGACGATACACTGACGAATGTAGAAGGTGCACAGGGGCAGCTGGTTAGGTATCTCAACAGTATTTCTTCCAACAGGTGGCTTATGATCAAGATATTCTTTGTACTCGTTGTATTCCTCATGATCTTCTTGTTCTTTGTGGCATAAGGAAAGAAAAGGTTTAAATGGTTCCTTCTCTGCGGTCTCTCCATATTCGTGTACTATAATTCAGAATGCAAAGGGATCTCTTCTTGTAGTTAAAAAGAGGATCGATTGAAATTATGGTATATGCACAAATTTTGACTGTCATTTCCCCTTTTCCTGTATTTTGGATGGTTGAAGACGAACTTCTGGGTACATAATTTCTTAAATTGCGGAACCTTGCGTTTCCCAGCTGCTTGTTCTTGTTTATTTTGTTCATTGTCCACTCCGTGTTCAACGAGACTTGAACCGAACACTTTGATGTCGCAACATTGTTTTAGTATTGAAAGATTAGAAGTCTGTTGACAACTTGACATTGCTTACGACTACTTGGTGTATGTGTATTGTGATTTTTAGTGAATGTGCACGGTTTGTGATAACATTGCAAATCTCGATCGGCGGAAATTGAAATGATAACTAGGGATGGCAATCAAACCCATGGGCCATGGCCACGGATCCGACCGTTCCCAACCCAGTCAACGCGGGGAATCCCCGTTTTGACTGGGTATGGGGCGGGTATGGGTAAAACCCGTAAAAAGTTTGATGGGTATGGGGCGGGTATGGTTTTAGCCTCCCCGCCCCATACCCATACCCGCCCCACCAAGAGAATTTTTTCACATATCAAAAAATATGTGGATTAAATTGTAATCTATCAATGATGATGATGATAACCCGAGAAAATAAATAGTAGAAATGCAATTGAGTAACCACCTTAATCAAAACCTAATTCATTTCCCTCAATTCTCCTTCCACTCTTTCACTTTCCCCCTTGTCAACAAGATTATGTTAGTTAATTAGTACTTAGTAAATGTATCAAGAGTTAGAGCATAATAATTTAAAAAATATTGTAGTCTATATTATGTATTAATGGATGTTTTAGGATCAAATTCTTTGAATCGTATTTAGAAAATGACCGTGTTTTGTTGACTTCATGATATAATAGGTTTGTTTATGATTATAATTAAAACTTTTCTTGTAAGTTTTAGGTATAATAATGTTGGATGTACGGGGATGAGTATTACCCATGGGTACCCGAAACCCACGGGTATGGGGATGGGTTTGCAAAACATTCCCCCGCATGGGTATGGGGCGGGTATGGGTTTGGGTATTTGAAGATGGAGATGGGGATGGTTTAGGCAAACCCGCCCCATTGCCATCCCTAATGATAACCAGTGTTTATACCACTCCGCTAAACCTTACGAACACATTTCTTTATTACGATCAAAAGATTGAGCATGTAAAGTGGATCTTATCATCTCATCTCAATTTGCGTTCATATTTCAGTCAGAATTAATCGCAAATCCCTCATCTGCTGCGAGTACGATGCCTATGATAAGGATTAAAATGGCCAGAACTATTTTCCTAGGGACTGAAATGGTAATGAAAGTGAATTCAGGGCACTGATTCATCCACATCTCATACCGTTACTGAGAGCTGTTAGTGGAATTTCAAAATAAAGAATCAGCGGGATATTGAATTCGAATTCATAACGGCCATCATTTTTAACCCCCCTTCTTCAGTACCAATTCCCCTTCACAGTTCACACACCGACAGTCGAAGCAAACTCTCGCAATCGCTAATAACAATGGCAACTCTCACGCCGGGAATCCTCCTGAAGCTCCTACAGACAATGAACTCCACCACCAGAGTCACCGGCGACCATCGCTCCCCGCTCCTCCAATTCATCGGCATAGTCCCTGCCCTCACCGGCGCCACAGACCTCTGGCCCAACCACGGCTTCTACGTCCAGCTCTCCGACTCCCTCAACTCCACCTACGTCTCCCTCTCCGATCGCGACACCGACCTCATCCTCTCCAACCGCCTCCAGCTCGGCCAGTTCGTCTACGTCGACCGCTTCGACCCCGACTCCCCTATTCCTAGGGTTTGCGACATCCGCCCAATCGCCGGCCGCCACCCCTTCGTCGGCGCCCCCGAGCCGCTCATCGCTCGTATCTCGTCGTCTTCGAGGAAGGAATTCGTGATCCAGCTTGTCGAATCGTCCTCCGATTCCTCAATCGACTCGATCGCGCCGTATTTGTCCAACAGAAATTCAGACAATTCGGCGAAGAACAACGACAAGTTCGAGGAGAAGAGTGTTAGGAAAGCAGTGAGAACGCCTCTCGCGCCGCGAGACAATGTGCAAGCTGGAAATTCGGAGAAGAAGACGAAGGAGAGAGCTCTGGCACCACAGAGATTCTCTTCCCCTGCTGGAGCGAGGAGATCTGCTTCTACCGGAAGAAAGAATGTTTCTGCGGCGGTGGAGAGAGATCCGTCTCCGTCAGGGAAACCGGGGAAAAGATCTTCCTCTCCCGCTCCATCGAAATGCGTGGTGCCGAGTTTGGCGGCGGCGAGGGAGGAGAACAGGAGAGTGGCGAGGGAGCCGGCGATTATAGTTCCGTCGAGGTACCGACAGCCGTCGCCGAATGGGCGGAGGAAGGCGTCGCTGAATCCGAGGAGAGCTTCGCTGTCTCCGGGGAGGAGGCTCTCCGGAGTCAAAGATTCCGCCGGGAATAAGAAGATTGCGGCGATTGTCGCCGGAATTTCCAGAGTCTCCGAAGCTCTTGTTGGATCTGGTAAGAGCAGTAGAAAATCATGGGACGAAACTCCGCAGCCTCCCGCAGAGCTGAGAGAGAAGAATGAGGTGAAGAAGAAGGTGGATAGAAACTCAATTCTCCGGACTCGGGTGAATTCTTCCTTCTTTCCTCCATTGTAGAGTTAGTGAATTGTAACTTTTGAGCTTTCTAATTCAAATTGCGATCAATACAGGCAGCCCTGTCTAGGCGTTTGAGCGATGCTGGTCGCCATTCCAATCACGATGATGACGATGAAGGTGATGATGACTGTTCGAGTATTGAGAAAGGAAAGCTGAATTCTCCTGGGGGATCTACTGATAGCGAGAAGCCAGGTGGTAGAGCAATTGGGTTCACTGTACATGAGAAGAAATGGACTGATGGAAGCGTTCCATTTGATTCAGTTTCAGCAGAACTTGCACTGCTTGGAAAGGTAAAGACATTTTAATGGATTCTGAGAGCTGAGTTACCTGTGGAAAAGATATCAAAGTAAGAATCTTTATAGCATTGCCTTACAAGGTAGCTTGAACGGAAGTCAATTTGATGAGCTCAAAACCATCAAGATACAACCTCTTAAACTACCCTGATTGAAATGCAGGAAGCCATTCAAAGGAGGATTCTGGCTTCTACAGCAGCAGCAGCAGAAGCACTGGAAGAAGCCATTGCCACGGAATCCATCGTCAGAAGCTTAAGGTTAAAACCTCCCTCTCCCCTGAGGATTTTGAATCGCTTCATTCGCTCTATTCACTGATTCGTGTAGTAATTCAACTGAACCTCTCTTCCCCCTTTCAATCTCTCCATTGCAGCATATTCGCAGACCTTGCATCATCATCCAAATCCAAGCCCGGGAACCCCTTGCCAACAATAGACCGGTTCTTCTCCCTATACGATGAAGTACACAAGTACACTCAGACTGCTCAATCCATCGCCACCAGCCACTCTTCTTCTTCTTCTTCTTCCGATCACGAGGCCATCCCACCACCAACAGAGCATTCCAAAGCAGCTTCGTTGTGGGTCGAAGCTGCTTTATCCACCGACCTCGAGATTGTCTCCGTTCTGAACAGAAACAGCACCACAACTGCCACCATACATCATCATCGTCAACCGTCCAATTCTGCTCCCTTCCCGAGGAGTGGTTCGAAACGACAGTCCTTTAAGGGAAGCTCTTCTTCTTCGCCGTCTTCATCAATGTCGTCTCCAAACGACAGAGCTCGTGTTGCCGCGGAAAGAGGAGGCGCTTGGAGGAGAGGCTACGGGATGAGTGAAACGGTGGAGTTGGGGAAGAAGGTGGAAGGGGAGATGGAATTTTGGTTCGTGAGGTTCGTGGAGGAAGATTTGGATGCCGGGTTCATGGCGCTGGGTGGTGGAGATGTTGTGCCGCTCGAGGCTGGCTCGATTGCGGCCATAATGTCACAGCTGAAGCGAGTGAACGGTTGGCTGGATAAGGTGGCGGGAAAAGGGGAGAAGGGCATGATTGAGAAGATTGAGAAGGTGAAGAGGAAGATATATGGGTTCGTTATTCAGCATGTTGGAAACGCTTTTTGAAAGGCTTTCTAATAGGGAAACATTTCTGATGGAGAGCACACTGAAACGAAGAAAGCTATCTTTTATTGTCTTCACACTTTAAATCGTAATTAAAGTAGCGTTTGTTATACTGTATTGTGCAGGCGGTTTCATCGACAAAAATCTCTATTGGTGTCCAAAGTAATATATAATGTGTCGGTATGAAATAATTGAATAATGGTTAAACCACAAATTACTTATCCGATACAACCTCTAACACAATTTTACCCATACAAATACAATCCTTCAATTGAAGTATTTCTTATCAGTATTGTAAAAATATTCATCCCCTGCAAAGGAAAAAGATCAAAGACACCTACAAGTTCATTATTGCAAAACTTGACTAGAAATTGTCTGAGTGAAAGGCCAGGAATCTTTCTCTTGTAGGGAGGGTGACTCTAGTCTTGTCTGTCCTCAATGCTTTGCCAAATTATGTCATGCAGACAACAGTGCTTCCAGTCTCAGTTTGCGATATTATTTGGGGGGGGGGGGTCGAGCTTTTATCTGGCCAGCTGAAGCAGGGAAGCCTAAAGTCCATCTTGTATCTTGGGAGACAATTTGTAAACCAAAGAAAGAAAGGGGACTTGGGCTGAGATCCGCCAGAGCTCTTAACTTTTCTTATGTTATGAAGTTTGGAGGGTTGTTTCTTAATAATCCTAATGATCTCTGGGTAAAAGTGTTACAGGGAAAGTACTTTCGTTTAAACAGGGATGGCAGAGCGACGAGGAAACAAAGCAGACAGTCGCAAGGGATCGTGGAGGCTTGGCCTGCGATGTAGCAAGGAGTAGTGTGGGACCTTAGGGGTGGTAGGCAAAATAGATTTTAGAATAGTCCATGGCTATCCAATGATATTATCCTCGAAGAGCACATTGTTGGTGATGGAAAAGACATTGACTGGGGAGCATCAGTTGCTGACCTCACGACCAATGAAGTTGAGTGGCGCTTTAGCATGTTTGAACCTCACCTTCCTCACAATTACGTTTGTCTTATTGCAGGGGTAGACCCACCTCGAGAGGAGCTCGGCGAGGACGTGATTGTGTGGGGATTGGAAGCTAATGGAAAATTCTCTCTAAGTTCATCTTACTGAGCTGCTACTGAATGGCTCCAGAACGATGAAGAAGAGGCGGCAACAGAGAGAAACCAGAGTGGCGTAGCATTTGGAGGAGGAACGAGCCCAACTGTATTAAACATTTTCTTTGGCTAGCGATTCACGATAGGCTCATGACAAATTGCGAGAAAAAGCGCAGGAATATCACGACAACCGACACGTGCGAGCTGCGTAAAAGTGCTCCTGAGTCTACATAACACATGCTTCAACATTGCCATAAGGCACAACAAGTATGTCGCCGACTTGGTATTCAGGAAGACTCCCTTAATGTGGTTATTCCCTTCGCAGGGTGGATGACAGCTCATCTGGAGTCTGCAAGTTCCGGGCTGCTAATGGGGGTGGCAATGTGGTACTTATGGAAGCGAAGAAACGAGGAGATATTCCAAAAGAAGAAGTTGACGAAATCACCTTGGAGCGGAGGATCAAAAGCTGGATAAGGACTATTCAACAGGTACAATAGAGTGAGAATCAGACCCAAAGGAACCGCTCGACTAAAGATTGCGGCTCAACTTCATTGGAGTCCCCCGCCCGCCAGATGGGTCGATATTAACATAGATGGCTCTATCCAACAGCCTGGGTCGAGGGCAGCAGCATGAGGGCTTATTAGAGACGAGTATGGGAGATGCACGAGAGCTTTCACATCAAATCTAGGAGTCTTGACAATTACAAGAGTAGAGCTAAGGGGGGCGATATACGGGTTTAAAATTGGCGTGGAGCAAGGGCATAGGAAGTTCATCTCAAACTTGATTCCATGACGGCTATCAAAATTTTGACTTCCATAGAGAATCAGGATCAGAGATATTACAACATCGCCAAAGAATTGCATAGAATCATTCATCAACATTGGGAGGGATCAAATCTCTCATATTTTCAGGGGATGCAATAAAGCAGCTGACTTCCTCGCCAATAGGTCAAATCTCTCATACTTTTAATGTTTCGGATCCAGGCCTTTCGTGTTGGGTCTTGTATGATACCATGGACATTGTCCAAAATTGTTTAATGTAAGTATTAGGTAGGGCTGTCCGTCCTCTTTTCTAATAAAAAAAAGATATTACTTGCCATGATTTAATCCCCAATTCGCTTGGAAAAAGAAACAAAAGAAGAAAGGTCCATAAAACACGGGAGCGAATCAGGCCAATAACCTTAGGGTGAGTAACCATGAGTAACCCGTCCACATCAGTATCCCTCTCTTGCATGGAAAACCTTTTATCATTTCCCCTTTAATCATTAACAGACGATTTCTCTCTAGTTTTAAGTCGGAATTTAAATTTTTTTGCACAGATAAATCAGATTATTGTGCTCGTTAAAATGATATCCACTTTGATATGTTTTTAGAACAAAAAATTGATGCATTTTTTACTAGTCAATACCATATGGTATTAAACAGGAGCATACCATATGATAAGAAAGCGTGCCATGATGGTATGAACATACCAAGACTATTGAAAGGTTGAATACATGATAGTAGGAGAATACTAGTTGTCATTTACGACTTTTATCATTGTTTACCACAAGTTACCACTCCCATACCAGAGTGGAAAAGTATGATAATTTTTTGTCCTATATTTTATTCACACAGAAATTGTAGATCCAATAGATCATGATGAACTCGTTCCTTCTGAGCAAATATTTTTTAAAACGACTTAAAAACGAAGAAGTTACCATATGGTATGAAGTTGTTAACCGAATGTATGAAAAAACAAATTCTCAAAAAATATTGAAAATTTGATCTAATTTTGTAGAGCACAATAAACTCGTTCTATCTGTGCAAAAAAAAAAAATCGGAATCCCAGATAGAACGAAGAAAATAAAAACCAATTAAGTAAACTAAAAAAATAAAATATCATTAATTCACAATTCTTAAATCTAGATTTTCTTGACCCAGTTAAATTTAAAGGTCCAGATTTCGTTATCTCTCTCGAGTCATAAAAGATACACGTAATGAGTTTCGTAATTTGGGTGAAAACGGGTGGGCCAAAAGCCCATGCATCCCAGCCTAGTAGACCTGGTCGGACCCACTACTTATTACCCAACTATACCTCCCACTGCGGGACGCAATCACACCCCTCTGTTTCTCATCTGACGGCCCTCCCTTTCTCGTCTAAACAGACACCAGCCTTTTTTTCCCCAAAGAAACAAACACCAGCCTTATCGACAGATTACCTGAACCTGACGTCCCCAAAATACCCTTGTAGATTGCGTTCGTTACGTATCCTGCCAGTCCAGGGTAAAATACCTCGCGTGCCACTTAAGTTTGAATAGGGCGTCGGGTACCACTGAACTCTATTATATGTGCACCCGGTACCACTTAAGTTTACTTCTAAGTGCATTCCGTTAAATTTGACAGAATATTCTGGGAATATTCTGTTTTCTAAATTTCATAATTGGTCCTTCTACTTTTTTTTATTGTAAAAAAATAATTTGGACTTATCAAAAACATCGTTTTTTATTGGTTAGTTAGAATCTTCTTTTGAATATTTGATACCAAATCAAGAAAATTTAGAATCAATTATCATTATTTGTTCTAATAATTTAATTATTCTATACAGGTTGTAACTAAACAATGTTGTAGCTTATATAGTCATATTTTCTTTTCTATATTTTTTACCGAATGTTGTAGCTTTTATATTTTATTTGTTACTTGGTTACTTTCCATTTCTTTTCATTCTAATTTTTTTCAATTAAAGGAATATGTTTAATTATTTCTTATTGTGTTCCAGTTATCCTTCTTTGATTTTGATATATTGATAATCGATTAGGTTCTATTTTAATTATTTCTAATGGTGCTTGTCATTGAATTAGGGGGTTTAAATAGATATTCTAATATTAATTTTAAATATATATTATTATATTCTAGTATATTTATTATTCTTCTTGATATTAATTTACTAAATTTACTAATTTATCTATTTTATTAAAAAAATTATTAATCATTCTAGTAATAATATGTTTAGAAGGTTTTCTAATTATTATATTAGATAAAACTTGTTGAAATATAGTTTTGGATGTTTTTAAAAGTTACGGGTATCAAAACGTAATTAAAATTTTGGGTTGGATGGAAAAGTAGACGGATGCACATTTTGGTGACTTTAGTGGTACTCGACGCCCTATTAAAAGTTAAGTGGTATGTCTACCCCAATTCTCAAACTTAAGTGGCACGCGAGGTAGGGGTGGGAAACGGTGCGGTTGCGGTTAACTGCACCGCATTTTGCGGTTAACTGCAACCGCAAAACACCCATATTAACCAACCGCGACCGCGTCCGTCACGGTTAGCGGTTAACCAAAAACCGCAAAACGCGATTAACGGTGCACCGCGGTTACTAGTTGTAAAAACCGCAGCAACCGCATCTGTCTACCAAACCGCGGTTAAGCTACTCACGACAGAGGGGCAGCAGAGTAGATGTGGAGACTGGAAGAGGAGCTCGACGGCCGACGTGTAGGGTGTGGAGAGGAGAGCGTCGGCGACGAGAGCAGGTCGAGGCGTCGAGCGAACAGAGTAGCAGTTGAGGCGTCGAGCGAACAGAGGAGCAGTCGAGCGCCGCCGGCGCGCCGCCTTGAGGAAGCCGGAGACGGCGGACGGCGGGCGGATGGCAGTGGGGTGATTTTTGCTAGCCTGCTGCTCTCAGTTGTTGGGTTAGGGTTTTCAGACGACGGGAAGATGGGAAGGGAAATGGATTCGTCAAAAGTCAAAACGGCAAAAGGGAGAAGTGGGGAAAGGGGCCGAGTCGGGTTGGGCTTGGGTGGGGTTTGTGACTTTGGGGCTTAGGTTGGATTGGAAATTGATTGGGTCATCTATTCGCGGTTAGCCTTGCGATTATATTTATTTGCGGTTTCGTTTGCGGTTAAACCGCAAATCGCAAACCAGCCCGTATCTCCAACCGCGATCGCAAAATAGGTAAATTATGCGGTTTGCGGTTAACCAATAACCGCGCGATTTCGGTGCGGTTATCGATTTAACCGCGAAACCGCAACCGTTTTCCCACCCTAACGCGAGGTATTTTACCCGCAGGCCACCGGCCAAATGAATTATCGAAATTAATTAAACAAAATTTGCTTCCATTCCACCTGTAGAGCGAGAGAGTGCCGAAGCCAAGGTAACAGACGAGAGATAGAGAGAGAAAGCGAGAACGAGCGGAAGACAGAAGAGTATAGTCTCGTTCACGGACCGCCATTGAAGAGGCTATAATTTTTTCCAGTTTGCATTTCTTACCGCGGACTTCTGCCCTTCGAGGCGGCGGGCGATTGCTCGGAGAAATAACCTCTCACCGGCGAGCTCGTTGTTGTTTCTTCGTCTTTCGTTGTTTTCCATTTCCCCCTTCGTATTGCTTTCTCAATCGGGGGAAACGAATTGAACCGACAGGTCCCTGGAACCCTAATTTCATCTCATAATATTGACGAACGCCATCCGAGCTCTCGAAAACGTTCGATTCAAAGGGAGCCGGAGGGAGGGCGTGTTTCGTCATCGTGTGTGTGTTTTTGTGGATTTTGAGATAGAAGGAAATGGTCGGGGGAGGAGCAAGCGGGAGGAAGAATGAGCAGGTGGTGCTGAACAGTAACAATGTGTTCGCTGCGCTCGACACCTTGAGGAAGAAGAAGAAGAGTTCCAGCTCCTCCTCCGCTGCGACTTCCGGCAAGGACCGGTCTAAATCGAAATCGAACAAAGAGGAGAAGGAGGCGGCGGAGAAGGTGTTCTGGTCGCCGGCGCCGCTCACGACGAAATCTTGGGCTGACGTCGAAGACGAGGATGACGACGATTACTACGCGACTACTGCCCCCCTCGCCACAGCCTGGGCTGCCGCTCCTGGTGCCAAGTCGGAGAAGGAGGCCGTGGAGGTGATTAAATCCTTATTATCTTTCTGCTTCTGTACTATATCAAACATGCTATCTATCATCTTCTTGATGCTGTTTACTATGCTCTTGGTTTTGAATGGAATAGTTTGCATAGAGAATGTGATTGCCTTGTTTAACTTTATGTTTGAGAAACTGAATGATACAGTTTAGTGGGAGAGAATAAAGAATATGCTTATCAGATTTGATCTTTATGTGAAGTACTGTGGATTTATTTTTGAGTATGGATAGGCTTATGCTGGTATGTAATGGATAAAGTTGTTTCAACAGTCAGTTTCTTTTGTTTGTCACCCTCCAACATAGCAATCAGGCTCAGGAACTGTCTAAGACGTATTTGTTCTCAGATAGTGATGCAACTAGATGCGTGGAGATATATCTAGGTAATGTCGGGAAATGATTTTGTTCTGATCTTTGAGGTCGGGAGTAGAACTTAGCAGACGTGCTTTTTGTTACGGATTCTCGGCTATAGGTGGCATTTTCAGATTGCTGGAATGTTGGCCATGGTTTTGGGTATCCCTTCAGTTATTTTGACAGTCGGGAGTTTACACGTGTCAAATGATCCGTTATTGAATACGTTCAATGATATACTCTTTCTGTTGCCTTGTTGGTTAAAAAAAGGTCAGATTTGGCATCATCTTTTACCTTTGTTGGCACAAGGGTTTCATGACACATAATTGATATGGTGAAGGCCGTTACGAGATTGCCTCATCCAAACCTTTCAATTGAGAAGCGATACGTGTTGGTATTTGGATAAGGAGGAATAAGGAAACAGTTTTACTGTCTGAACCAAGCTGTTTCATTTTTGTGCAATGAGGAAACTATTGATGGCATCCCTCAAGACCTTTCATACTTTCTGTATGAAAAGGCCATGCATAGTTAGAAGGCATATTGTGGTATTTAAGTGAAATGATATGTCATGTGATGGGCATTCATGCCTTACCTTAGTGTATGGTAGGTGTTCCATTGTTGCTGAGTCTGGATACCCTCTCAATATTGCTTAAGATTCGGTCATCAAGCATCATGAAAGTGTCTTGTGATCCTCCTCCTCCTCTTCAACATCATCGGCATCCATTTCATGGCTATTGCTGCTTTCTCTCATTATTTTGGAAGAAAAATGTGCCACCTTGTTGTAGGACTGTGGAGTTGGTTCATTATTTTCCTTACGTGATCTTTTTGCTTGGAAATTAACCGTGAGTTCTGTATCTACAGATTTATTTACATGTTTTAATATCTTAGCCTGGAGTTGCCGCGGATGACTGTAAATCTGTAGTTTGATTTCTTGGAACAATTATACCTGCTAATATGTTGAGGTGGTAATCATGATCCATGCTAGAAGCCAAGAGATTCAATACAATTCTTAGTAGCAGTAAATAGGTGTCTCGAGTAAATTCCCACTCTTTATGGTGGTCCAATTTATTGCAAATGACTAGAGTATTGGCATTGACATTTACTGTTCACGAAAATGATCTTTAAAGTTGGCATTTTGCAACTCACTCTGGTATGATGTGTGGCCTGCACTTAGACTATCTCATGTATTCATTACTGAACTGATTATTTTACCTATTAATTTGAAAACTCACTGCAGGCTGTACATGAATTGCCGTGTCTAATTTGTCTTTGCATTCTGTTATGTTTGAAGGAAACTGAAAGTGAAGAAGAAGGTCTTGATGAAGTTGATGATGATGTGGAGGATGTGGAGGAAGAACATGAACATGAGCCTGAAGTGCCCACAGAAGTGGAACCTGTGAAGAAGCAACCTGAGGCTTCTTTGCCTCCAAAGGATACAGAAAGGCAACTCTCGAAAAAGGAGTTGAAGAAAAAAGGGCTTGAAGAACTTGATGCTGTACTTGCAGAGTTAGGATATGCTAAACAGGAGTCGGGTGGTCAGGATGCCTCTGATGGTAACTTCCTTGAACGTTCTCGAATGATCCATAGCTCCTTAGCATATATTGATCTTTGGCATTGTGGTACCGAAATATAACATCTGACCTTCACAACACTTAGCTCCTGCTGATGAAATGAATCTCTGCTTTCGCACATGTTTCAGGAGAGAAGAAAGCTGACAACAATGGACAAGCGAAGAAGGAAAATGCCCCGGGAGAGAGCAAGAGTGCCAAAAAGAAGAAGAAGAAGGAGAAGACCTCGAAAGAAGCCAACAAGGATTCTGAGGACCAGTCTCGGAGTGTTGGTGTTGTTGCAGATCAGACTGCCAATAGCACTGCTGAAGCCGAGAAGTCTGATGATGCATCCAGTGGCGTCGATGTGAAGGAGCGGTTGAAGAAAGTGGCAGCCAAGAAGAAGAAGTCGAGCAAAGAAGTAGATGCCGCCGCCAAGGCTGCTGCTAGTGAGGCTGCTGCCAGGCGAGCCAAGCTCGCTGCCGCGGCGAAGAAGAAGGAGAAGGCTCACTACAATCAGCAGCCGGTGCGGTAAGCCGGCAAGGCAAAGTTTTCAAAAGTGTCCTTCCTCTTTTCTTCTTTTCTCCCCTTTCATTCATGAGAACTCAGAACTTCTGTTTTGATTTTGACAGTGCAAATAAGACCTCAGGATTTTATGGCGAAAAAATTAAATTGACATTTTAATATGGATAAAAAAAAGTTACTACTTCATTAGACGACTTAATCTGGTTTTCTCGTGCATGATTGCTTGTTACTACTTCAATAGACGACTTACCCTGGTTTTCATGTGCTTGGTTGCTTGTTATATACCGTCACCGCTTCATGGTTCATTTCTTGGATGATTATGTTCACATTTATTAAAGACCGTTTTCATGTCCTTGTTGTGACTTGTGAGTATGGTTTGTGAAACCAAATCGTATCTTATAGGTGGTTCAACCGTAAAATACTAGTATTGGAGGTTAAACTGGTAGGTGATATTTAGTGGTATCAATAATTGATCGATAGTTAAACCATGATTTCAGCATAAAATACCGTATTGTTGACTTTTTTTGGTATAGTCTGCGGTAAAATTTTACAAACTTTGCTTGCGAGTCTCTGCTTCTCTTGGAGTTGCTACTTGCCTCCTGATGGTGTGTTTGGTTCTAACTCTTTTTCTAGAGAGTTTTGCTAAGATATGACATGCGCTAAGTGATGAGTGGATTTTGTGTCTGTTTTTACTTGTTAGCCAAACAAACACACCCTTAAAAAGAAAGAGAAACAATGGAGCTCAGCTCATGCTGGGGAAAGATTTCTGGGGAGAAGAAAGAGAGGAACTCTTGGCATGATAGAATAACAGCCCCAAAGGTATCACAAAAAACACGATTCCCATTTGCCTTTGTCCTTCCCTCCAACTAGTCTTTTTGACCCAAAGCAAGCATCTTTGCATGTCACCACCATAGAAAAATCCTTCTACAAAATCCCAATTTCCCACCTCTCGCCCTTTCCCCATCATCCCACCACCATGGCTTCTTCTTCTTCTTCTTCATCAGTCCAGGAGCTCCATTTCCCGCCTCTCAACATCCCCATCACCACTTCCCGACCAGTCCACGTCTCGCCGGCCGGTCCAATCCCGGCCGAATTCGGCCACAGCCTTTACCTCTCCAACCTGGACGACATCATCGGAGCTCGCGTCTTCACCCCGACGGTCTACTTCTACAGATCGGACTTCTTCAATCCTGACGACGAAAAACCTGTCGTCCGAACCCTCCGAGAAGCTCTGGCAGCGGTCCTGGTCCCTTACTACCCTCTCTCCGGCCGGCTGAGGGAAGCCATGAACGGCAAGCTGGAAGTGTTCTTCGGACCGGAACAGGGAGCTCTGATGGTGGAGGCATACTCCGAAATGGCGCTGGCCGAGCTCGGAGACCTCACTGTCCCAAACCCGGCCTGGGCTCCCTTGATCTACGTTTTCCCCGACGAGGAGCCTTACAAGGTCCTCGACATGCCGCTGCTCATCGCGCAGGTCACCGTCTTCAGCTGCGGCGGGTTCAGCCTCGGGCTGAGGCTCTGCCATTGCATCTGCGACGGTCTCGGGGCGATGCAGTTTCTAGGTTCGTGGGCTGCCACGGCGAAATCGGGGACTCTGGTCGCGAAACCGGACCCGGTCTGGGACAGGGAGGTTTTCCGGCCGAGAGACCCGCCGGCGGTGAAGTTCCCTCACGTCGAGTTCATGAAGATCGACGACGAGTCGAGCCTGACGATGAGCCTGTGGCAGGAGAAGCCCGTGCAGAGGTGCTACCGCGTCAGCCGCGAGTTCCAGGCTCGACTCAAGGCGGTGGCTCAGTTTAGCGACAGGTAATGTAGTCAAATTTTGACTTACATTTCTAGCTCAGCAAAACGTTATCGCGATTTTGATTGCATTGACCACGTGACAGGTTTACCTGCACAACGTTCGACGCCATGGCGGCACACATCTGGAGGTCGTGGGTGAGAGCGCTGGACGTGAAGCCGCTGGATTACAGGCTGAGGCTGACCTTCTCGGTCAACGCGCGGCAGAAGCTGAAGGAGGCACCCCTGAGGGACGGGTTCTACGGCAACGTCGTCTGCCTCGCCTGCGCGACGAGCTCGGTCGATGAGCTGGTCAACGGGCGGCTCTCCGACACGGCGAGGCTGGTCAGGGAGGCGAGGATCGACGTGTCCGAGGAGTATCTGAGGTCGACGATCGATTACGTGGAGGTGGATCGGCCGAGGAGGCTGGAGTTCGGCGGGAAGCTGACGATTACACAGTGGACGAGGTTTCCGATCTATGAGACGGCGGATTTCGGGTGGGGGAGGCCGGTGTACGCCGGGCCGATCGACCTGACGCCGACGCCCCAGGTGTGTGTTTTGTTGCCGGAGGGTGAGGCGGAGCCCAGTGGGAGGACGGTGATTTGCATCTGCTTGCCGGAGTTTGCCACCGGGAAGTTCACGGAGCTGTTGTGTTCCGGTGTTGGTGATCGGTTGCCGTCGGCGGGTGGTGGCACGGAAGGTGTTTGAGGAAATATCTGACTGGGGAGAGTGGTGGTAGTTGAAGTGTGAAATTGGTATGGGATTGGGAGAGAAGGGAATGAGACTTTAAAGGTCAAACAATCTGAACTGTTAATAGCACCTCCTGTTTGTTATACCCTGAGAATTTACAGTTTGTTTTGCTCTATTTTTTTCCAGATTATTACATGTATTTCAGATTACAAGGTAATTAGTAATTACTAATTAGTAATTACTTGAATAGTAAATAAATTAAAAAGAAAAAGGCCAACGTAAACCCCGTTGTTAATAAATGGGTAATAGCATTTTGTACTCCTCTACTATCATGAATTAACAAACGTACCCCTTTACTAAATTTTCGCACAAACATACCCTTCTAATATTAAAACGTAACGAGTTTACCCTTCCGTCTAATTATCTATTAAATCACTGTTAAATGGACTGAAAAATGACCCAAATGCCCCTCCTTTACTCCTAATTTCAATTTTAATTATTTAATTTCATATTTATTTATGTTTAGTTAAAAGAACAAACCCTAAACAAATCACCGGCAGTCCCAAGAGACCGTCCATCTGCCCTGTCTCCCCTGGTGGTTCGTCGATCGACTCGGTGGCGCCTGCTCCCTGCTTATCATTGCCGGCGGTTGCAAGAAGCCGTTCGACACGCTGTTTCCATCTCCTCCTGCCATCCCGTGCTTCGATCTCGCGCTCTCGTACTCTGCCGCCTCCGCCGACAACTTCGATTCTAACGAGGGCCGAATACCAGCTAGTTGAACCCGAAGCTCAGAGCCGCAGAGATGGAGCTTCTTTCTCCGGAAACAGAGCTTCTCGCTCCTGAATACGTCCTGTCCTCCGACCTGGCGAAAAAACCAACTTTGCCACCTCCCCTGAATCTGCACAACGATCTCGACATCGAAACCATCTCGCCGCACCCTCCGCCCGCCTCTAATCGTCGTCGAGAACCTACAGGTCACAGCTCCGGTCTTCAATTCCGGCGACGCTGTTCAGAATTGCTGTTGCTAGAATGTAGGGGTGGGCATTGGTGTGGTCAAACCGCTCTGAACCGCACCGAATCGCATTTGCGGTCGAGCCAAACCGCACCGTATACTTGCGGTCTTATATGCGATCTAAATTTTTAGCGGCTCGCAGTTAGTGTTCGAGTTAATCCGAAATCGCGCGGTCGCGGTCCAAAACCGCAAACCAATCGTACTGCGGTAGTCCATTAGCAGCCAATCGTACTTCTCGGCAAAGCAGAACAGCTCGTGGAACGGGAGGCTCTACTCTTTCATCTTCTCTGGTTCCGGCAATGGCTTGGTGTCCTTCATGCTGCTTCACTCCGCCATTGAAAGAAGGAGGAGGCTGATTTCAAAGCTGAGCAAGATCAATAAAAGAATACAGGTAGGTAGGTACCCAGTTTCATCAATTCCACTTGGCAAAATCGAAATCTAGATGCCAAGAATGGAACGCGGCCGAGTTCTCCAACATCTCCGACACAAATTCTCCGCCGTCGTCGCACTCGTCGAACTGTTCATCTACGACCAGCATCCCCTGCTCCTCCTCTCCTCTGCCTCTCCAAACCCAGCCAGGGGCGTGTCCGGATCTTCTTTTTCTTCTCCAAGGATGTACTGGAAGCTGCTGCCGGATGATTGTTGTCGTTCTTGTCATGACGGTGACGAAGAATAGGAGAAAATTGAGAGCCCAGTTACATACTTCCTATGGAATTGGTTGGTATTAATAATTTCGAGTGGTTAAAATCGATAGAAAAATAGCTAACTTGATTTGTATATAAGTAAGATTAGTTATTACTAGATAGGATCTTAAATATTCATTTTTAGGATCTTTAATATTCGTTTTTCTTATAATTACGGATCATGGGTATAAAAAGTGAATTCAAACGTGTCAATCAATTATTTGCGGTCAAATATGTGGTGCGATCCAAACCACATATCTAAGCGGTTTGGTTTGACCGCACCAATTATATTGCAGTCTAATATGCGGTGCGGTTAAAATGACATGCGGTGCGGTTTATATTAGTATGGTGCGGTGCGGTTTGAACCGCACCAATGCCCACCCCTACTAGAATGTGAGGTGCGATTGAGGGAGATTTCGCAGCAGGAGTTGGAAGAGAGGCGGTAAAGGGAATGGTGGAAGATTCAGACAGTTGGGGAAGATGTAGGGTGGCGCTTGCAGGGGAGGTAAACAATTGTTTTTGGTTGGGAAGATGAAGACTCCAATCATGGAAGGAGTTGCCATTGTTTTGGTTGGAGCTAACTCTCTGTACCCGGCTTTAATTAATTGTTTGGGTATTAAATAAATAATAAATAAAATAATTAAAACTGAAATTAGGAGTAAAGGAAGGGCAATTTGGTCATTTCTCATTCTCTTTAACGGTCACTTAACGGATAATTAGACGGAAGGGTAACTTCGTTACGTTTTAATAGTACAAGGGTATGTTTGTGCGAAAATTTTGTAAAGGGGTACGTTTGTTAATTTACGATAGTAGAGGGGTACAAAATGCTATTAACTCTTAATAAATTACTAGATTATTGTTTAAACAAAAAAATTACGAGATTAGACAAACCATGTATTTACTGGTATTTGCAGCGATTTAGCTAAACCGTGTTTGTTGGGAATAACTTTTGTAGAATCGTTTTAGTCTCTAATTATTTTGTGTAAACAAATAGAGATTCTAAGAATCTACTATTCAAGTTTTCAAGTG